TACTCTAAATCAAACCAGCAGAAAAAGTCCTTGTGCTATAAATGTGGTAAATAACTGGGTCCAAGGAGACACACCTCCCTCTTCATCAAAGAAAAATTCGTTGCCATCGAGTTAATTTCGACCCTGTAGGACGGAGTAGAACTGCCCCATAGAGTTTCCAAGGCTGTAAATCTTCACAGAAGCAGACTGCCACATCTCTTCTCCCTTATTAAAGGACTATTCTTTTCTTTTTACAGTTTTTTCTTTCTTTGCCCTTTTCTTATTGATTTGAATGTCTTTACAGACTTTCTGTCATTTTGTAGATGTGGCAAATTCTCCCTGTTAGTAGACTGTATTTCATTTTCCCTAAGGTGTCATTTGATAAACAAAAGGTCTTAATACAGTCGACCGTGCATCTCTCTCAATCTAAGCAAAATATATGAGGCAACTTTTTTCACGCAGCGGACAACAGGCAACACCTGGCTGGGATGACCGAGGAAGAGAAGGGTGAAGTCTCACAAGAGTCCAGCTTCTCTGCCTGAGGACAATTTCCCAAAAGCAGTGCACTGGAGTCCAAGCAAGGCAACCCCACTGAGCTGAGAAGGCAGAGGTCAGAGCGTGGGACAGCTAAAGCAGCCGGAGTCATCCAGGGGGAACTATGCAGTGAGCACCCTGGAGCTTGTGTGCATAAGGGTTGCCTATAAGTCCATGGTTGACGGTTGCACTATACATAAACTGAGAGGTGGGTGTATTTTGCAGTGGGAGGTAGTAGCTCATCTATTATACCACTGCTATTTCAGAGGTGTTTAGGAAAAAATAAGCTGTCTTTAAATTCTCTTTATTTAATTCCTGTTATTTAAAGTGTCTAATATAGTTATCCACCACTGTCTTAGTTATTTAGTGCTGCTATAACAGAAATACCACAAGTGAATGGCTTTAATAAACAGAAATTTATTCTCTCACAGTCTAGGAGGCTGGAAGTCTGAACTCAGGGGGCCAGCTCCCGGGGAAGGCTTTCTTTCTGTCGGTTCTGGGGGAGGGTCTTTGTCATCAATCTTCCCCTGGTCTAGGAGCCAGATCCAAAGGACACGCTCTGCTCCCCGTGCTTCTTTCTTGGTGGCATGAGGTCCCTCTCCTCTCTGTTCCATTCTCTTTTATATCTCAAAAGAGATTGATTCAAGATACAACCTAATCCTGTAGATTGTGTCCTGCCTCATTAACATAACTGCCTCTAACCTGCCTCATTAACATATAGAGGTTAGGATTTTCAACACATAAGATAATCACATCAGATCACAAAATGGTAGACAACCACACAATACTGGGAATCATGGCCTAGCTAAGTTGACACACATTTTTGGGGGACACAATTCAATCCATAAAAACCACCCATCTGTCAGTTTGTTGTACTGTGGTGGCTTGCTTGCATGTTGCTAGGATGCTGGAAGCTATGCCACAAGTATTTCAAATTCCAGCAGGGTCGCCTATGGTGGACAGGTTTGAGCAGAGCCTCCAGACTAAGACAGATTGGAAAGAGAAGCCTGGTGATCTACTTCGTAAAATTACCAATGAAAACTTACAGATCACAACAGAACATTGTCCAACTTGCTTGTTTTGGATGTGTCATCTGGAGGGATCAATTGCTAGAGGAGGACATCATGTTCAGTGAAGTAGAGGGCCAACGAGAGAAAGGGAGACCCTCAGTGAGATGGATTAGCACAACAGCTACAATGATGGACTCAAACATGTTGACAATTATGAGGATGACACAGGACCTGGGCAACATTTCGTTTTGTTGTACATAAGGTCGCCATGAGTCAGAGCTGACTTGACAGCAGC